AATTTCTGTTACTAAGTGCACTGATAATTTTCTACGTTTACTGCTAAAAGCGAGATTATAATGGAATGAGTCTAGAAAAACTCAGCACTGGCTATGAATGATAATGCAGTTCGTTGAGTGCCATGCATGTTGCAGTCATTTCGATGTTTTGCAAAGATGCCTACACCACAACAGCACATGCAGAAATGTACTACTCGATGTTACAGCAGCGGTTTTCTATCACATCTGCAGCACACACTTCGAAGGTTCGTTGCTCCTTGATTCTGTTCGGTTACTGACCGTTTTGATGAGGAAGACAGTCAGCTAGGAATAGCAATAACCACTGGCTGTTTGCAGAACTGGAAGAGGTATTGCCATGTCTGTACAGCAATTCTGCAGTCATTTACTACACCTGCGACAATCAGTGCAAGCTCACCGAACTGCTCACAAAGACGTCTAAGGATAGCATAACGAAATCGCCAGACTCGTCAAGCGACAACGACATCATGCTGTTTGACTCCCAAAACCTTCACAGTTTGTGTAGGTGCGACTGTTAGTTCTCATCATTTCAGCTTACTGTCCCATGGAGGTCTGGAACCGGCTGTGATCCACACATCAGTTTTGAAAATAAGATGTACGGTTCAAGTAGATTCTGATCCAGCTGAATGACAGTGGGCCGCACAGGCAACTCGACCGAATGGTTTACTTTACGCGTTAGCAGATGCAGCAGCTTACGGTGCTGCGCAGGCCATTTCCTGTGCTGATAATGCAGTAACGTGTAGATGTAATCACCTTTTTTACCGCATACTTGTTGATATCTCGCAATAGCGGAGAAAAATGCACTCGCTTTCTCGTTGATCTGAGAAGCGACAGAAAATGACTGCAGTGATAATGGCATATTTGATCCACGTGGTCTGGCCTACTGAACCAGTAGTGGTCTGTTGTGCCGGATTACCCTAGTTTACTGGATTTGCCAATGATCCTGGCATGCTGTATCCAGTGCTGATTCTGGCATATTAAAATGGTTGGCTCTGCTTTACTCCTCTTTATCCGCTCCAGTTAGTTTGTATCAGCATTCTTGCCATATCCTTGCTTTTACTTAATTTACTGATTGTATGTGTCCAGTTTCAGTGTTCAACTTTTTGTACGGACAGCTTATAAGGCTGGAATGAGCTAATATATAGGTGAGCAAATAGTCGATTCAGAGCAAAGTCAGATGACAAAGTATTAATCAGCCATTTTCAGTTCCTCGGCTTGTTTTTTGAACTGCACCCAACAGAAGGTGGAAAAAGAATGCGCGGTGAGCCAGTCATCCTTATTGGTAAGTATGTGTTTATGTTCTTTCATGCACTTTTAGAATTTGTTATTTTTATCAAACGTATATTGGTACTATGAAACACAGAGAATATTCATGACTTCACTGAAAGCTCACACTGTGTAAAGTAGCCTGTTCTGTCATTGACAAACAGATTGTTGGAATCGCTCTGATGTCTGCGAATCACCCGCCAAAATCGATGCTGTTGGAAGTGAATGTACAGTCATTCGTATTAACTGACCAAATGTTCTGGAAAAAGCAGCGTAGAAAAATCGGTCAACAAGTAACAGGTAAAGTACTCGGAACACGTAGTGTGCACTAGGAGAGGAATTAAGAAGAGTAGGGGAAAGCGGTGAAATGAATGGGATGTGGAAAGAAAACAAGGCGTACGAGGGAAGCACAAAATCACCTTCGTCTGCACAATATGTGGTTTTACGGTACGCTGTTACGAATATATGTACCACACTGGTGTGCCTTTAAGTGCATTTCTTTCTAATCACTTTTTTACAGGCTTAGCAAAAACAAAATTTCCTATTTTGATGACTTGCTGTGCTCCGAGATTATTGTATCAGCCCTCATTTCGGCCTGGGACCACAATGTGAAATCTGACTGCGGCCACATAGTGTGTGTGTAATAAGCTGAAGCCTCGAGGCTTCATATATAACTCGTCCTGGCCTGCGGCTGTCATGAAATTAAGTGAACCTGATAGTGAGGTTGAATAACAAACTGAGGCGCGGAATTTGATTTCATTTATTTTCCCTGCATTTTATTTCGTGGAAGCTTTTTCATGGATTTCGTGGACACGTTGAGTGGAAGCTGATTTGAGTTTTGTGGTCCATAACTTTTCAGATGCTATAACTCCAAGCTTTATAGCTTTATGGATTTCTTGATTTTTAAATCCTGTGCGCTCATCATAATGCGTTTTTTATCTGCATTAAAAAACTCACTGTTGAGCACAACACCAAAGATTGGCTAAGGGGAAGAAGCGCATACTTTTATTAAAAAAATATAAAATTTGGTCAGAATTTAATTTTAAATACATTCCATGTAATTAAGGAAAGAAAAACAGAAAATAAGCGTGACGGCGTACAGTTGTGATTGAAGTGGAGAGGAGTTAGGAGATATTAAATCGGTTGAGCAGCATACTTGAGGCACCTCCTCCTTTGTCAAGGGCTCCGATGTACACCGGTGGCAATGCATTACCTTCAAGTCAAAATGATGCGC